TTTTGCTGCTAAACCCAGGTTGACGTTTACTTATATGTTTTTTAGTACAAAAGGAAAACAAATTATTCAATAATTTTATTTTAGGATTTTGTGGTAAGAAACAGGGTTAAGATATTTTTTCGAGATTAAAAAATAAAAAAAAATCATTTTTGTCTACCTAAAAAATTTATTGTTTAAAATATTTTTTGGTTACCAACAAAACAAAGATAACATTAGGGTTAGTGCCCCGTTATCTCTGTTGGAGTTTGGTGGCGAGTTCGGGAATAAATGGTTTCGGCAAAATCAATATGGAATTGCAACAATGGAAGGATTTTTTTTTGTTTGATTAACTCTTTCTGCCCTCACCAATCTGACATTGATAAAAACATTTGCAAGGGTTTTACAAGTGGAACCTACTCAGCAAAGTCTTTCTATTCTTCTTCACTTCATTTTTCTAATGTTTGGAAGGCGGGAAATCTTTTACTGGCAAGTCATTAATGGAAAAGTTGCTGTTAAGGGTGAGCTTATGAAAAGGAAAATTCTGGATTTAATTCTGCTCAGTTTGCTTTCTGTAATAACGAATTAGAAACTGTTGAGTTGGTCATCTCTTTTTCAACTGTATAGTCTCTTGGAAAATATTGTTGTTATGCCGTAATTTGTGGAATGTAAATTGGGTTGCTCCCAGGATGCTAATTCTTTCTTTTTCTCTTGACAAGCCTCATCACTTTCGAAATGCAATGATGGAATCTGGAGAATGCTATTATTTACTATTCTATGGTCGATACGGTTCCATCGAAATTCCTTTGTTTTATGCAGCTTATTAATATTATTAAAGCATGCGGAGCTTAACTCAGTTGAAGTGATTGATGCAATCAACATTAGAGGATATTGAACAAATATTAAATTCAAGTCTTAGCATAATAAATCTCTTCCCCTATGTAAAAAAAAAATAAAGTGTCCCTTTCTTTCCAGTGTCAAGGTAAATGGCCCTCTATGGTAGCCTGTCAATAATTTCTTTCTCGATCCTTCTGGTGTCTTCACTAAGAATGTTGTTACAGTTGACAAGTCTCGTGTTTTGGTTTCTTGGTCCTGACCTCCTATAGGTTCTATGAAACTTAATGTTGATGTATCGGCTATTGGCAAACCAGGATCTGCCGTTGTTGGTGATGTTTTGCGAGATCATTCTGGCATTGTTAAAGGGGTTTTTCTCTAAGCCAATTTGTGTGACGACTTTAATTTTGCGGAACTCTTGGAAATCAAAGAGGGTCTCTCATTCTTTTCTTTTTCCTCTTGGGTAAGCTCTCACCCTCTTGCAATTGAAAGTGACTTTACTAATGCAGTTCTTTGGGCCAACAACTCCTCCATTGTTCCTTGGCGTTTATCTCAAACCAAATTGAAAGTTTTAATAGAAGACTCAAGGGTGTTTTCTTTCATCACATTTTGCGTGAGGCTAACTCCTTTGTTGATGCATTAGCCAAATCTGAGGTCACTCTCGAACTTGTAATTTTGAGGCTTGGTTTTGATAGCTACTAGTTTTGGCTGATTCACATCAGCTTGTGATGACAAATTCTATTTCCTTATTTTTCGTCTTTAATAAATTTTATTGCATTTTAAAAAAATCTCTATTGAAGTTAATTTCATTCACCTTCAAATTTAATGATCATAATTATAAGAGAATAAGAGTTTAATTATCACCTTAATTTAATGCAATAAAATATAGATAACTGAATTCATCCAAATAAATTCAGATAAGCATTAGATTTTATTTATTGAATCAATCAACTTAGAAAGTTGAAGGTTTTAATGGAATATGAAATATTAGGTGATGTCAAAATTTTTGTTTTTATTATAATAAAATAAAATTCATATCCCTAATTCCATTCATTTGAGGACTTATTTGATTATTATTTCCAACTTCTTAACTAGTAGGATATTAAGCATTTTTAGTTACTTAGGTTTAGTATTTTAATTAATTTATGGTATTAATCAAAACACTGTATATATATGTCCTATATGGTTATATATATGTCCTATTTGGTTATATATATATATATGCACGCACCATATGCATATATGCATATATAGATAAGTTACGTAGTATATATATCCCTTTCGTTTTGTTTTATGATAATTTTCTTAATCTTTGAAATTAATGTTAATATAATGTATATGATGTGCATGCATGTGGAAAGATATGATGATTAAACTTAAACATTATTTCCAACTTTTCATAAAAGTTGAATATATGATCTCTCAAATTCCATCTTTCTAGCTTGATATTAACATTCTACAGTTTGGAATTAATTGGAATTCCACTGCACACTTTTTCCCTAGCTATGTTCTCCTTTATCCTTTCTGTCTCCTAATTATTAGAACTCCGCAACTCAAGCATAAGCGGAAGTTTTAGCTAGCATATACCCATGGCTTAATTTTAAACCAAGATTTTTATCTCCCAAGTTGCAAAACTGTTTTAAGATTTATCCATCACAGGATATTTTGCATTAAATTTTTTAATTTATAAACACGATTGATTTCCATTTGTTCACCTTTCACTGGATATTTTGCGTGCATTGCTAATAGCAGTTTGTAAAAACGGTACAGTTGATTTTTCACTTGTTATCTTTATCAAGAGCATTGAAGTTCAAAAACTTCGAATTTTCAACTCTCATGTGTACTTATATATATAAAAAACCGAAATGATGGTTCAACTTTCAAGGGCATAGTCAGAGGGAGGTGGTGACGGTCTTCGTTAAGAACATTCTTCCCAGAGTTAGCTGAAGTTGGCTTTGGGGTATATTCCAACACCACGGTTCTGTTGTTGATGTTTTTATCCCACAAAAGAGAAGTGGGAGCGGGAAAAGATTTGGTTTTGTCCGCTTTGAGGATATGGTGGAGGCAAAGAGAGGGATCGAAAGCCTAAATGGATCATGGCTTCTGGACTTTCGTATTGGGGTTAATATGGCAAGGATCATGAGCAGAGTCGAGTATTGGAGAAAAGTTAGAGGGAGGAGTAATCAGGGGATGAGGGATAATGCAAAGTATCCGATCATTGAGGTGGGTGTTAGTACCCAAGTTGGTGAGAGTGCAGGGATGACCAAGTGCGTGCGTGGTGGAGGGAAGAGATGTTCGGACTCGTAATCAAAAGACATACTTACAGGCGTTGATGAACAACAGAATGTCTACCTCTGTTGCTGAAGAAGATAGAGAGATAGGTGAAATACAAATGGGTATTCATGTTGGTGTGTGCAATACTAAGCTAAAATCATGCAAGGGTGGGGTGGATGATGAGGCGATACATAGGCTGGAGAATTGATTAGAAGGGACAGCCAGGGTTATTATGAAACATGTAGACTGATGGAGAACTTTACAATTAATGGGGTGTCAGAGATTTCAGTCAAAAAGATCACGGGCATACAGTTTCTAATTGAATTCGATGATCTGAAAATGAAGGCCACAATGAAAAGATTGGGATGGTCATGGCTTAAAGAATGGTTTTGATGACATAGCGGAATGGTCAGACAACATCCATGCAAACTATAGAGTTATATGAGTAACTTGTGTTGGTGTTCCTCTACGTGCATGAAATTACACTACATTCAAGAATATCGCAAACATAGGGGGGAGGTGGTAAGCATGTATGGCAGCACTCTAAAGTATCAAGATTTTAGCAGATGATGATGATGACTGATCAGATCGAGAAGATTGATGTAACTATTTCAGTCCTATGCAATGGGAAACTGTTCCTGGTTGGAGTGTCGGGAGTAGGAGATGATCTTGTTTCTCTGTTCTAGTGTGGTTGTAAGAAATTCAATGACAACAAGGGTTATTGAGTTGTTAACAGAACTGAGCATAGTTCTGGCGATGACTTTTGCATGGAGTGTCAGATGGTTTTGATGGTGGCATGCATCATGCATTCTCACTATTCAAACTCTCATGCACTCACCCTTTTGCTTTTCCTAAGAAACCCATAGATGTACGTGGGGAGATGAGTAGTATGGTTTTTACCGATATCATACTAGCTATTTAAGGTAAATTAACCCTAAAACATATCTTCACTTGCCAAAAACTAGACCTGATCCATCGATGGTCAGAGATAACAAATAAACATGCATGTAAAGTTTGTTCAGCCAGCTAGCTAATTTAAGATATGCATATGGCTACTATGTCATCATCATGAACTGCATGCATGCATGGGTACGTTCAATTCTCTCTGCTAACTACTATTCATGGACCACTCGGTCCTAACCAATTTTGCTCTCCTCCACCATACAAAACTCTTCAATCTGCCCATATCCATTCCCCATCTTGAGAAAACAAAGGAAATGCATTAAGTTTCTTTTTTTTTTTTAAATGAGTTCATAATTTAAAAATAAAAAATTGTAAATGTTAGAATTTGAATATTAACTTTATTAAATATGTTGCATGAATAATTAAATTAAACTTTGAATTTAAATGCATCAATTTGGTTACATACGGGTAATATTTATCTAAATTTAGAATAACAGCCGGTACATTTTCATAATCATGATTACCCGACCCAATTGCATCACACAAGCTAGCTGACTTAAGCAAAAGAAGTATAATTTCTACATTTGCCTAGAGTTGTTTGTTTTTGCCGGTATAGATAAAAAAATTGAAAGTTTTGAAGTTGAAAGAAAGAGTGAATGGTAACATGTACAACTAATTGAATGAAATGTTGAACAATATGGTGTCGGCTTCTTATACATTGGGAAGAACCAAACCAGCTCCAAATTTAATAATGTTAGAAAAAACAACCCCACTTCCTCCTCCCACCGTTCGTTTTTACTTCACAGAAAGGAGCGTGAACGACGCGCTGGAAATCAGCGAGTGCCGAGCTCTTCTTACAGCGAATCTTTGTTCTTTATACGTACACGAGTGCGGGCTACAGGCGAAGGAAGAAAATTAGAAAAAGAAAATTGCATTTGCATATCTAAAAAAAGTCTTTAATCAGTTCTCAATAAGTAAATCAAATTCTGAAATGAAAAGAAAAGTAAAAAAAGAAACGAATAAAGAAAGGTGAAATTGGTTATTCTCTGAAACACTTAGCGTTCGCTAGCGGTCTCATACGTCGCTGTCAGTCATAAATTAGGGGAAAGGAAGAGAGCTATCAAAAGCAAAGCATATGAGATGCTATACTTTAATCCTCTCTCTTTCTCTCTCTGTCTCTCTCTCTCTCTCTCTTCGAGCGGGAAAAATGTAAAGCCTTTTTCCTTTCTATCACCTCATCCATTTCAGTTCACCCTTCACCAACGACAGATACAACGAGCTCCCTACACCTCTTTTCAACTGTCATCAGTTTCTTCTTCTGTTTCTCTATCTGGGTCTGGGTCTCTTTTTTTTTCTCCTTCATTTTTAGTCTATAATTTCAACTATCCAAACTTATTTCCTTTCATTTTCTATGCTAATCTGCTCGTTTTCTTCCTCTCTTTTTATTCTTTTGAAGATGAGTTTTTGACAGTACCGATTTCTCTCTGGTTACGTGCATCTTCTTTCAAGAGTTAGCATGGCTGTTGTCTCTAAAGGCTTTTCCATCCGGTAAGTTGTTTCTTCCTTTGGGTTTTTTTTTTTTTTTCCTTTTCAAGTTTGCTTTATAGTTAGAAAGGTTTCTTCTTTGACTTTGTTGATCTGTTGTCTTGCGTAGCGAGTATGCTTCCAAAATGAGAAGCATCGACGTGGTGAAAAGCTGGCCGTTCTGTGGAGGTTCTTCTTCTTCTTCAGATGATGATAATGGTAACAGTATGGTAAACAAACAAACCATGGAATCTCTTCTCCCTCCGATCACAGTCATCAAATTCCGCTGGTGGTCCGAAGAGCTTGATCTTCTCAAATCAACTGAATTAGCTAACATAGAAAGCAGCGGCATGGAAAATAACAAGCTTCAAGAAACGCAACCCAGAAGCGAAAATGATTTGTTGCAAGTAAATCTTCATGTTGGGGAGAAATCCGATGAAAGATCAGACATGTTGGAATGTCCCGTTTGTGGGGCATTTGCTGCTTCCACAGTGAATGCGTTGAATGCTCATGTTGATAGCTGTCTTGCTCAAGCATGTAGAGAAGAGAGGCGCCAAATGAGGATGGCAATTAAGGCTACAAAATCAAGAGCCCCCAAGAAACGATCCATCGTTGAGATCTTTGCTGCGGCTCCACAGATCCACATGGTTGTTGATGCTGCTGATGATAACAATTTGCTGGATGAAAATGAAAATGGCAGTTTGGACAACAAGTTGAATTGCAAGATTGAGAGGCCAAAGAAGAAGAAGAAAAAGAAGAAGAAAGTGGCAATTGTGAAAAAGTTGAAGAAGAGAAAGAGGAAGTTGGAGAAGAATAAGAATAAGAAGCAAGATGGGCTAATTGTTAAGAAGGTATGTGGTTTACATCATAAAATATTTCTAATTATGTGCTTTATTATGATTGTGAGTTGTTTGATTTTATTCTTCTTTTTATTATATATTGTTTAGAGTTGTTGCGTCAATATTTTTCATTTGATGATGGTTATAATTCATTGTTGTTCATGTCATGATAAACTATCATTGATTTTTGGGCTGTGGGCTTGTGATCTTTGGATAGTTGATCGATTGGATTTTGAGCCAGTTAAAAGGTACGATTATTTATCTGTGTTCTTCATATGTATTTTCTTTGTGATTCTTTCTTTTCCTTTCTGATTAACAAAATTCCAGCTGATAAAGCTTGATAAAGACTGTATTCATTTTGAGGACTGAGATCACTGAGCTGTTGCCTTGTGATTATACTTGTTGTGCTCAATGAGGTTCAGAAGCGTCATAAAGAGAGAGAAAAAAAAAAAGTTAAAACAAAGAGATGGTATTTTCATGTCTGGTAAGGTTTGAGCGGGTTATGGAGCTTAGGTGAGGTGTGGTGATCCAGCTGTACCGTACGGGTTGGGCAGAGGTGTTTTATAGGGTAGAGATTTTTTTTGTCCTTGGTTTAGCATATCTATCCTAGATTAATGATGCTGTTTTTTTTTTTTTTTTAACTACTGTTGCAATAATTTTTTCTAACGAAGATAATCATTTAGATATTGGGGCCAGTTTTATTTTTTACCTAATGGCCTGTGTCTCATCTTATTGGGGAGGTGCTTATCATTTAGATTGATAGATTACGGGAACCATGGAAGGACTTGAATAATTAATTCAGGTAAACTGTTTAAGATATAAGGTCGGATTGATGATAATGTGGACTGGAAACTTGCCACAAAGGATATGGAGATTTGTAAATTGCTTTCATGATCTTATTGCAATGTTTCTGCATTGGATGGCATATTATGGTGTTATTTCATGGACTCTTTTGTGAAGAAAACGGTGTTCTAGCTCTGATAACTATTTAGTTTTTGCAATCTATCTTTGCATTTGTTGGAGAGGACAGTAGATGGGTGATGCCAAATTTTGATACATGTCTGATTGAAAGATGTTCTTTTGAGTGGACCATGTGTGTACATATATATATATATATATATATATATATATATTGTGAAACTGAATGGCCGACATGTCCGAAATTTTGATGCAAAGATTTTGTTGTCGTTGCTTATGCTATCTTGGGATTTATGTCATCAGATGCTTAACCGGCTGCATAATGAAATTGCAAAAGTATTCATATTTTATGAGACCCTTGTAGTTTTAGAGACCCATTTTGGTGTTAATGGCAGCAAGGATTCATTAATAGTTTGGGGATGAAATCATCTTTATCACTCATGTATGGACTTTTACATATTGTTTAGTTCTAGTAGGTGGAATTTGCAGCTATCAAGAAAATGCTTTTTATGTATTGGTATGAGAATGACCCTAAGCCTCTAATATTTGGCTTGATGAATATTTGTTGATGGAAAGTATAGGAATATCGCCTTAGAAGATACTGTTGAGATGAAAATATTGACAGGAAGCTTGTTATTATAGATAATGATATTGGCTTAAAACATGACGAGTCTTAATTTGTTTTATAAGTTACTGTTTGGTTCTTGAAAGCCATCATCTGGATTGAAGAAACATGTACCAATCGTAGTATCTGTATAAGGAGCATAAGGGAATAATGATACTTCATTTTATGCTGTTATCACTTCTCAAACACAACATATATGAAAGATCATTTGACTGAAAAAAAGAAGATATCTAAAGGCTGGTTTATCTTATGCAGTCTTGTTCTTTAAGGTTTGAGAAACATTCTGTTGAAATATAATTTGGGCGATATGTAAGTACCTGCTTTCAAGTAGAAAAAATCCACAGCATGTGATTGCTATTAGCTAGATCTCTTACTATGTCTACTTTTGGCACAATAAAATTGTTATATGATGGGTTGTTAATTTTCACCATAGAGGCCAAAAAATCAGACTGGCCACCTGGAAATGGATTAAGAATTTCCTTCTGTTCTTTTACCATATGTCTTTTCTCATCATGCTGGTTTCATATGACTATGATAGCACTTAAGATGCTGTTTGAGAAATGAATCATCGGTTCTTTATGTGGATGGTATCTGAAGGGGAAAGGTTTCCGTTGGCAGTACACATCCTCTCTTTTACTTGTGCTGTTTCAAGGTTTATTAAAAAAAAAATAGAAAATTTAGCTAATGGATTTAGTATCTCAATTTAATATCATGCAGCCTACTAATTGGTTCTTGGTTACAAAATTTATTTATTTCTAGGAACATCCATGCATCTTTACTTTGTCTTTTGGTAGAGGGATGCGTTTTGGCAATGTTGGTCTATGATACAAAGTTGTATCAAATAAAAGGGTATTCTTTAAATGAATTTATTATGTTACCCTCATTATTGTACTCACATAGGGACCTAGTGAGGATTTGCGTGCTTTGCTACTTTCTTGGAGGCTTGAATCAATATATACTTGCAAGTTGCCTCTCCAAAACAAAACTCTGACTTGCCCCTTGTATATTTGTGCAAGGGAGGAAAATACTGCTGATGTTAACTAAAAGCTTTCTTTTTCTTGTAGTAAAATCCTTTAATTATTTATTTTAGGTAATTCCAATCCCATTTTGAACTCATTTGTTTTTTTTATTTTTCTGTATACTAATTTTGTACGAGGGTTGTGCCTCTTCCTTTTACTTTTGATAATATTTCACCAGTCAGAAAAGAAATGAATAATTAGCAGTGGAACATGTGCCCTTAAAATTTATATTATGCCAAGGAAGATCGAGTTTGGAAAGAACTGTAGGTAGAAATATTGTAGAATCAGGTTATTCTGCAGGTGCTGTCTTAGACAAATATCCAGTCTTTAATACCTATAAGTGTTGTCCCTTCTGTTACATTACATTAAGCATGTTGAGGAATTGAAAACACTGTAAAAGAGCTATATGGTTACTAGCAGCTACTAAGCATGTCTGATTTAGATGTACTGAATTGAAAAAAAAAAAAAATCTTTACATCTCAAGGACTTACAACCACTGGAACAGCTAAATTCTTGGACCTTTAGGAAATTTTGACCTGCTAAAATTTCTTCGACATTTCCAAATCAGTTTTAGGTAACTGGTAATTTTATTTTCACATACAATTACCTATCTTTTTTTTTCCCCAAAATTTAGGTGCTTTGACTATGCGAAAGTTTATGTTAAAGCAGTGCGCTTCACGTCTCTTTGGTCAAACTCAATGATCTTTGATGCTGGCAGTTTAATGATCCCTTGAAGTTTATCAGTGTTATGGTCCAGTGAGCTTCTTTAGGTACATTATGTAGTAAAGCCACTGGCAGATTCTTCTTGGAATAATGGTTTTCCTTGTCTAATTTAGATGCTAGATGTTTTATGATATTCCCATTTTTATCACTGAAAAAAATTCTGCCCATTTTGCAAAAGTTCGTAATATTTTCTTCTTGATGATTAGTGTTGGAACTATTTTCAAATTTTATATGGAAGTTTCCTTTTTAGGCTAAAGAGCTATTTAGAGAGAGTAATTTTTTGAATCTTAGCATTTGATTTTAAATGGACCTTTTTTCTTGTTAAGGCAAAATTTTCCCCAACAGTTTCCTCATATGGCTGGAAAAGTACTTTTCTGATGCTAAGCAATTCATACCATGGTCTATATGCAGGCTTGTATTATGTAAGTTGGAATTATAACAAGTTCTAATTTTCTTAATTGCCAAGTTATGATTTTGATCATTGGAACGCCCTGTTGTAAAATGAATGAGAAATAAACAGTCAACAACCAATGTGTAGACTTGTTGTAACTTTTAATAACAGGCATAAACTCTAACTAAAAGTATGTAAACCATTTTTTCTAACGAAAAGTATGTAAACCATGTTAATTTTTTATAACTAATATGATTGTTCATGCATGTGTAACATTCTACATTTCTTATCAAATGATTTAAGCAGTAATGGGAGTAAATAGAAATTAAATATAAGTCTCATAGCATTAATGCTTTCTGGATGATGTTGAAAGCAACTGATAGTAAATTATTTCCTTTTGGTTTTAACAATATTTGAAGTCTTGAATAATATCGCTATAATATTTCATCAAAATTTATAGGATAAAAAAACTAAGTTAATTCAGCAATGGCGGCCAAGGCAATAGTCTAATGGCAGTCACACCCTATGAAAGGTGTCCATAAAGAATTTTGGAAAAAAAGAGCTCATTATCAAAATACTGTCAGGTGAAACTAAATTGTACCTTGTATGGAAAAATTAGTATTGTTAAGCTAAAAGAAACAAAAAGGAAAAACTTATTTTCTGGTCAAACTGCCCAATATCTACAGCAGAAATGTTTTCCATGAGCATTTTGGTCATTTTGATGTCAACAAGTTTATTATGTAATGGTGTAAAGCTATATGTCTTTGTGATGCTACTGATGAACAATATGAAAAATGAAAGAAAACACTTTATTGATTTTCTTAGGTTCTGTCATTCCTGACACAGAATTTTGAATATGAACTTCTGAATCACTTCAAACTTCTTTCTCTCAAACATCGTGTTCCAATAATTAAAAAAAATTACTGTAGCATGGTTTAACGGGAACCACCTCCAGAATATATCGTTGTAATTGTAAAATCCAGATGCCATATTTTTCTGTAATAAAGGATGTGTAATGACTATCATGTGTGTCTTCAACTGCAATTTCACCATAGATTCACAATTTACAAGAAAACGATATTGGCATTGGGACAAAAGAGTTTAGCTTTAGGTTGCAGTTGTCACTAGGCATATTTTTCACAATTCAAGAAAATTTTAATCAGTTTTTGCTACATGTTATACTATCTGAATTGTTTAGTGTTGTTTTGTACTCTTTTCATGGAACGCTTGTTCTCTGCACTAGAGGCTAGTTCAGATGTTGGATTTCCATATAGTGTTATTCAAGTCCAGAAGCAGCGAAGAACTGTTTTGCTTTTTGATGGTGAAAATTTCGAATTGTCACATTAATGATCATATTGGTTTCTCTTTTGTCATATCTTTTATTGGTTTTTTGTTAGTAATTTAATTCCCATGCATGATACAATTTCACAAGCCCACAAAATTTGTACCTGTGGCCTTGAAAATTTGCATGCAAGCCAATGAGCCGAGATGAGGGCTGTATCTATTTTATTTGTTTTCTTCATATGTTCTTTCTTTCTTTCTATTTCCCTCTTATTAACTTGGTACTTGTAGTATTTTTTCACTTAATTTGAATCTCTTATAAACCTACTACTTCCTATTAAATCCTTTCTCTTTATATATCAGTTACATTTCCAAGCAATTCACCATGTATAATTATACCTCTGCATTTTCATAGGACAGTCTTTAGCTTCAAGTTTTGCAATTTGTCATTACAATGACCAACTAAATAGGTAAATTGAAGAAATAAAGCGTGATAAACTTGTGATAGCAGTATGATAAAGTAATAAGAATTAAAAGGATACCTTACTATAAAAATCCAGATTGCTAGGTAACACTATCAATACATAAGGAAATTAACAATGAACTTAAGATTATAAGAACTGTGATAGGAAAAGGACTTGGTATGTGATCTTAATTTATTATCAAACAACCAAACCTTTTCCTTGAATCAGTAAACTCTTAGGGCCTATTCCTACTATCTGTAACATTTGACTACTTAAGCTGGCTGCAGGTAGCATGCAAATGCTGGTTCTTCCTTGGACAAGAGGGTAGTGATGTACATGGTTGGAGTAGGTATATAAAATTATTTGAATTAGCACCATTTAGTTGAAAGTTGATATATATTCATGCGATTGCCCATGCAGATCCATAGATTGTGATGGTAGTGTACAAGTTGTTGGTAACCCTTTGTACTAGTCCTTTTGCAAGTTGAATGTTGGTCTTCAGTTTTAAGTTCATTTTGGCACTTTTGATATGGTTGTAGGGCCAATTTATGGCTGAATTCGTCAAATTCAAAAAATGAATTTATCTATTCCTCATAGTTGAATTAATAATATGTGAAATATCTTAAAATTTTGAAAACTTGACACCATGATGATTCTGTTTTTCTTGTCTCAGAAGAATGGTTGCAAGCAGAAGCTGCAAATTCCTGTCAATTTCAATAGAAAATCAAACAGGGGCTCAAACGCTGTTTCTATCCTTAGAAAGAAACCAAGTCTCAAATGCGTGTCTGCAAAGAAGAAAAGCAAGGTTGTTCAGGTATCCAAGCCAATTGTAGAGCATGAGCCAAGTTCACCTGTTCTAGGCATTCTCAAGAATCCCACAAAATGTGTTTCTGGACAAAATCCAACAATATGTAATTTGAGGGCCACTACTCAAACAAATACCTGCGGCGTTCAACATTCAGTCAGGCATGTCAGTTTCTCAGGTAAGGATGGCATACTTGGTCCCCATAAGAAACATGATGCTTCATTTGAGAAAAGCATTTGCCACATTGATTTGGATTCATTTGATCTGTCAAAAAAAGGCCTTCAGAATGAAGGTGATAAGGAATTTCTGGCCAGAGAGATAAACAGAAGTGATGAGGAAGATGTTTCTTTTAGCACAGAAAATGGAATTGGGGTGCAAGCTACAATGGAAAAGCAACAGTTGCCTGATTTTCATCACAATGTTGATATACCAAAATTTCTCAGACCTAGTATCAATGAGCAAGAAAAAATAAATCATTTTTCGGATAGATCTTTGCAACCAGGTCAAGTTGTATTAGATTCTGGTAATTTTCATATGTCTAATCAAGGAAATCAAAATATATTTTGTAGCCCTCCGTCTACTGGTGTTCCTAGACTCTTTTCTGCACCGAAAGAGATCCAAAATCCTTTTGTCAATTCACAAGTATGTGGTGGTGTTTCTACGGCTTTGAATTACAGTTCCCTGTTTGTTGATTATTTTGGAGATCACACCCGGGAAGTTGCTATAAGTTCTAAGGCAAATCCAAGGGCATCTTTGCAGCCTTTATCATCTGGTTTTGCTTTGATTAAAAATGCCAATGAAAGTGCTCCATTTACATCAGAAAATGTTTCAGGCCATCCTTTGTCCCATCAGCCATTTTATCATTTGTCTCCTATTGAACTGATGGGGAAGCAATGTCCCTTTCCAGAATGGAAACAGAAGGCAGTTGCCTTTTCAGAAAAGTACAGGGATGAGGGATATTTTGGTTTGCCTCTTAATTCACAAGGTGAACTAGTACAGGCAAAGTCAAGTGGAAATGGAGGATTCAACCAGCTAAAGAAATTGAGTCCAGTATCAGGTTCTTCCAATAGCATTAACAATCTTGTCTTGCCAAGGAGCATGGATGATCATTCAATTATGAAAGGGATGCATTTTACTGAAAGGGCACTTCCAAATAATCAGTTAAGTTTGTTTCCTGCACGGAATCACTTGAAAGTGAATGCTACTGTACATTCACCAGTTAGATTAGGGGCTACAGAATTGCAAGGCCATAGAAAAGAAGATGGCTTCCGTCTAAATTCTAATAAGAGATGCAACCATTCCATCTGCTTGATGAATTCAGACCTAAATTTGATGAACATCTCTTTCAGTGGATGTGGGCAATATGACCAGTTTCAGAACCAAAAGGATAAAGGCATCACTCATGCAAAGGAAAATGCAGACAAGATGCTCCTGAATAGTCCACCTCCAACAATGCGGTTGATGGGAAAAGATGTTACAATTTGTCGAAGTAGTGATGAGATACAAGAATTTGCAGATGGAAAGGTCTGGACTGATAAGGAAATCATAAAGGAGCAGCATCCTCAAAGTATTGCCCTTCAGAATTCCTTTCTTGATAGACGATTACCAGAAGACTGGCTTTTGGATCCAGCATCAGGAAAATTTAAAGAAACTCGTGTTCAACAATTTGAAATAGAGAGCAGCCAGGCCTTTCCCTCCAATGTACTCATGAAGTCTCCTGAGTGTAATTTCTTTCAGCCAGGTCTTAACTGTAGAGCAAATCCAGAATTCCATAATAGCAGCCTAGGAATGGCAGGAGATCCTAATCCAAAATCACACCATTTAGCTCATCCACCCACTTCCCATGCTATTTTTGACAGTGGAGCTGACTACCCGGAGCCTTTTATATCCAGAAATGAAACTTTAAGAGTTATTTCTCGACTACCCGCAGCATCTACTTCACACAGAAACTATCAGAATATAAATGGGAATTCTGTTGAACTCGAAAACAAGCAGAATCTACTGAATGCCGGAAACTCGTCTTTCAACTTTCCTTTTTTGTACCCAGATCATGTTGAAAATTTCCATCCGTCTTGGGTTCGTGGCTCCTCAAAGGGCCTGATGCCATGGTTGTTACAAGCAACACAGCAAGCGAAGGCACCAAGTACACGTTCTCGACCTCTTCCTGAAGTGGGTGGTAGGTTTCATCCGCATACTGCTCGAACTAGTTTTCTTACCAACCACTTGGTTCCTCATTCGCCAGTTGTTAATGATCACCACTTGCACATGGAAAGTTCAGTTGGGCAACCATCTGTAGCTCACTCCCCACTCATCCTACCTGTTCCTGGAATTAAACTAAATTCTTCTGTTAATATGAGCCACAGGAACAGAATGAAGTCAAAAAGTGTTGGCATTCAGGACCCTGATATTTGCCAGAAGACAAGGAAGAGACCTGGAGCGAGAGAAGATTATTCAATGAAGCCGATTAAGATACCTAATCTAGGAATTCAAGATGAATCAAGAGCTGCCGCCCTGTTGGCTAGAGAAAAGTTCATCGAGGACATTCAATGTAACACAGAGTCACTTGAAATTGAACCCGAAAGGAATGAAGCAAGCCTTGTAGGATGGATTCCAAATGAGTCTCAATGTAATGGGTTTGGACTTTCAGCTGGCATTGATTCTTCTAAAGTTGATGGTGTGGCAAGATCAGGTCCTATTAAACTGAGTCCTGGCGTGAAGCACATCCTGAAACCCGGCCACAGCCAAACTGTGGATCAGGATAACTCGAGGTTGATCCATTCAACTATTCCTTTTGCATCTATGACTGATTGTGGTAGCATTTTGGAGACTCAGAAGAAATCAACAAAGATTTACAGGTTTTAGGAGTAAGTCTTATCCTCCTGCGGTTAAAATTTTCTTTTTCAGTTTTCGTCACCCAGGCTTTATAAGTTGTGCATGTGAATGTAACAGGACTATGTATCTACTAGCCTGCATGATACAAGACTGTATTTGACTGCTCTTTGCTTGCAACTTCCAAGGTATCATTAAAGAATGAAGTTAAGTTTTCATGCATTTGCTACCAGCTCCAACTAGTATAATAACCGACATAAAGAGCAAAAACAAAACGAAAATTACAGTTATTACAATCCAAGAGCCGAGGATCAGTGATTTACTGCATCATGGTTTAAGCTCCTTCACTCCCTCTTTTCCAAGAAAACAAAAAAGAAGTTATTTCTTTAATTTGAGGTTTCTGTACTTTGAATTTGTAATACAATGTTGTAAAATGTGAATTTATACTTCTTACTGATACCATTAGAAGATGTTTCACTGACCATTTTCTTCTTGAAATTGTCAGTAGATATTTGAATAATGCACTATCCTCGCTAATTACACACACACACACACATATATATATATATATATATATATATATATATAAGAGGGATCAACTTGGATTGTAAAAATTTTTAATTTTACATATTTTTTAACTATTAATTTCGATAGATCCAAGAAATGAAATGAAATTATTTTTCTTACTTTTTCCTATCTCTCTCATTAATTGGATTTATTAGAATCAAAGTTTAGAAAAATATGCAAAACTAAAAAATTTTTATACCGTACAAATTAATCCCTCCTCATATATATATAAATATATATGTCTAAAACAGAATTATGTCTCATTTTAATTAGAAGGATGATATCTATATACTTATAATTTCTCCATAATGGTTCTTTTCAGGAGGAAAAGAATTTACTTTTCTAAAATAAAGAAGAGAGGAATGCAGATTATTATTATTTTTTTGGGTTGTCATTGTTATATGCTTTTTTTTATTATTATTGTATGATGATGTTAATTATATGCCTAGTTTAGTTACATATAACTCCTATGTTGTCTTACCATCGTGGAGTTAATTATTTTTTTAATCTTTTAAACCATATTATTTAACATATTTTATTAATTGTAATTGCTTATTAGAATTGTTCTAGTTAAAGTGAAAAAAGTCTTAAAGAAAAAAAGAAGAAATTTAATTTCAGAAAAAAAAAATTTCTTGATTTAGGACAAAGGGTGCGTTCTTTTATGCATGACATTATTGATACATAATAATCATTTCAAGAGAAAAATGGAAAGGTTTTTCTTTTTTTTTTTTTACTGGATAGAGGATGGGGAGATTTGAATTATCATATTACAGTCTTTTTAAACCTTTTTAGTCATAATGAACTTAAAGACAAGATTATTGATAAGGTGAAGGTTAGAGCTATTAAAATTGACTTGAACTCTGAAAAATTCATTCGAATTCAAATTAACTCAATTTAATTTGATAAAAAAGATAAAAAACTTGAATTTGTTTAACTTAAAATTAAAATTGAATTAACCTAAACTTGAAATTAAGTTGATTGATTTTAAAACTCAATTATTTGAAACAAATTAAACCAAATTTGATAACTCAAACTTTAATGACTTACTGAAAAACTTAAATCTAAGATGATTCAAATTCGAAATGATCTAAATTTAAAATGAATTAAATTTTTTTATTCAAAATGATCTTACTTGAAATAATCTAATCTAAATCCAATCTAACTCGCATAATTGTCATATCTAAATTGAAGGTTTTATTTGATTGTTTTCTAATTACTTGATTTCTCCACTTAATTGATTGTTTTCTAATTACTTGATTTCTCCACTATTTGTTATTTGTGTTTTAAAACGTTAGTTTAAAATAAAAAGTAAGCAATAAAAACAAATTTTTGTTATAACTTAAAAAAAAAAATCAAATGCTAAATTATCATTTTCAATATTGGCTTCAATTGCTAGAAAGAGCAAAACAAATTGAAGATAGGAATATTCCATCCTAAGTGCTAACAACAGTTTTTGCTGCTAGCTGCCAGCCGATTAAATTAAGATGAAGTCCAATTTTCTCTCACCAACTTTTTTCTTTAAATAAGCAAGTAATTTATTTATCGAAAGATAAGCAAACGATAACATTGTTACGTCATCAAAACTATTCTAGTCAATTTAGCTGGGAAACAAAGAAATTATGCATAGAAAATGAAGTGATTTAAGTCCCAAGCACATGTGATCTCTTGATTCTTGCTTTGAGTGGCAAAGCACACAATCACCATTAACTTTTGGATCCCATAAAAGCGTATGATTTTTAGCGGGCAACTTATTAAGGATGGTCATCCAGGAAACCATTGCATGTTTAGGAGTGTGGTAAGTGGATCACAATGGCCTATCCCAACTAGGGCTGTAAACGAGCCGAGCCGAGTCGAGTAGTGAGAAGCTCGAGCTCGAGCTCGACTCACAACTCGGAGCTCGATACTCGGCTCGAGCTCGATCGAATTTTATTTTTCAAGCTCAAGCTCGATTCGTGATCGAATTCGAACTACTCGAGCTCGTTCGATTAAGCTCGATTAATATGTAAAAATAAGTTCGATTCGTATACTCGACAAGAATTTGATTATTCATGCTCGAACTCGAACTCGAACTCGGACTCGAAATATTTTATTAATTAAAATAATAAAAATATATTTAAATATAAAAGCTCGATTAGGCTCGCGAGCTACTCGAGTCAGATATAATAATACTCGAATTCGGCTCGATCGATAAGTCGAGCTACTCGAGCTCGAGCTCGACTCGACAATAATCGAACCGAATTCGAGTTTTTTCGAATCGAACCCGAGTAGCTTGCGAATACTAATGTATCATTTACACCCCTAATCCCAACCTACTTTTGGTTGCTTAGGCCTAATCTCTTTTCAATCCTTAGCCACAGAGTACTTGGACCCTGAAATCCTCCAAACTGATCTCCCTTCTTATTGCTTTGTAAAGTGAACAACTATCTGCCTTAGCTACAACAATTTCCTCCAACTCCAACTGCTATTTTGAGAAGTAGACACCCGCCAGATGATCCTACCTTTAAGAACATATGTTTCAATCCAAGCAATCCAAAAAGAGCCACTTTTGGACAACAAAGGCCAAATATGCTACATGATACAGGCTTTGTTAAAAGTAAGTAGATCTTTTGGTCTAAGCTCTCCTTCAGACTTAGGATGGCAAATGAATTACCAGCTGATTCGAGCACCTCTTATGGAATTATCATGACGAGTCCAAAAAAAGCCAATCAATCTTGTTCAAGACATATATGGAAAGAATAAAATGCTTACACCAATATGTTATGTAATAAGGTTGGTTGACATATTAAAATGGAAGATAGGAAGAATTACAGAGACCAGAAGTAGAGAAAGAGAATTGAGAGCAAGAAAAGCTTGATATTTCTCAGTCATATCTCGAGAATGAGTACATGGTCGTTAAATGTAATACAAATGATAGCAAACAATTTAGCAGATGCTTTGGCTAAGATGGGAGTAATGAGAAACACTGATTTAATTGCTTGGATTTGGAGCTTTGTATTGTTTTATTATTAATAAAACGATTTCATTTTTCAAAAAAAAAAAATGTAATACAAATGATGACGTCATAATTCTAATAATAATATTCGGCCAATAAAATATAAACATTTTGGTAACTAAACATTCCAGCCGCAATTCCATAACAAGCAATTATTCCTGACAAGTCAACAACTGTTACGCCAACTTTTTATTTCTGCTCCTTCCAAGTGACAACTATCCTGGCTTGTCAACGTCCATGCTAGGTTCAACTTCATCTCCCATTCCAGAATCTTCAACCAGCTCAGCTACCTCCTTACTCCCAGGGCTAGTGATGAGCTTAACTCTACCCTTCATGCTCGATCCTTTATGATCACCCTGCAGTTTCATCACATTTCCTAGATTGTTTGGACCCAGATTAGACCATTCAACCGACAGTTGAGCAACAGCTCTGTTGCTTCTTTTAACCATCTTTTTATCAATGACTAAGCAGCAGGATATACAAGTGGTTGAACATCACTTCCAACTACAGGGGAGCTATGCTCGGCATAACCTTAATCCTAATTTTCTTCAAAAGGCTCACATGAAACACTAGCCGTAAATTTGAAGTAGTTGGGAGCTGCAGCTTTTAAGCCACTTTACCAACCTTGGCAAGTACGGATAAGGTCATTATACTTGGATGAAAGTTTAAGATTTTTTCTGAGTGCTAGAGAAGTTTGCCTATATGGCTAAAGTTTCAAGTACACCTCATCCCCTACTTGAAACGCTCGTTCTGTCCTGTTCTTGTCAGAACAATATTTCATCCTGTGCTATGCCTTTTGTAGTTAGTTGACCAACAGCTTGCTCGGTTTCTCCTTTTCCTTCAACAAGTCTCCTCAATAGTAGAGACCTTAGTCTTGCCATTGATATCCAATGCAAACCCTCGTGGTGGATAGCCATTTAATGCCTGAAAGGGTGTCATCTTTAGAGCAAATTGATAACTAGAATTATACCACCACTCTGCCAGAGACAACCACTGAGCCCAAGTCTTTGGTTTTAAACAACCCATACACCGAAAATATTGCTCGAAACATTGATTCGATCATTCACTCTGGCCACAGATTAAGAGTGATATGTTGTACTAAGATGCACTGATATGCCCAAGAGTTTCATTAGCTCCTACCAGACAGAACTAACAAAAACTTTATCTCTATTCGATATCACTGACTTTGAGGTTCCATGAAGCTTATGAACCTGGTTAGCATACTGATCTCCCTCCTGCTTGCTTTGTAAAGTGAACAACTATTAGATATCATTTTTTACCTTTATCTTACCTTTGTAAACCTGGTTAGAATAAATGCTTACACCAATATGTTATGTAATAAGGTTGGTTGACATATTAAAATGGAAGATAGGAAGAATTATAGAGACCAGAAGTAGAGAAAGAAAATTGAGAGCAAGAAAAGCTTGATATTTCTCATTCATATCTCGTGAAAACGTTATATGTAATACAAATGATATCTAATAGAGATAAAGTTTTTGTTTGTTCTGTCTGTCAGGAGCTAATAAGTACATCATCAAATCTAATAGAGGTAAAGTATGGCCACATCTATAGCTGTGTAAAGGTAACATAAAGGTAAAAAATGTGCATACTTAGTAAGTTTGTTAATTATGACCATGATGCAATTAAACTTTTATGATGAAGGCAGCTCTTTCACAAAGTCCATTGTAATTACTTCTAAACCTGTGTAAGGACTGGAATTGGTTAAAGTAGCTTTGGGTAAGCAACACTCTCATCTATGTTCATTTGATGGACTTCACATTGCTAAACATAATCTTGCACTTGTTTCATCATTCCAGGCCAATGAAAATACTATCTAAGCAGATAGTAAGGCCTTAATGTCCATCTTGAGGGGAATCATGTAGCAACTGCAACATTTGAGTTCTTAGCTATCCTTG